GTAAATTGAGATCCCCCTATTCAACCATTTAAATAGACCGATCTGGCTACTATTGTGTTTGTTCTACTTAATATACGTTGATCAATACTTTTTAAGTAAGCGATTTGAGAAAGCAAATGAAAAGCTTACATGAAGCAATATATGTTTTTGTTCAGAATGCAAGTCTTCGGCAAACACTTAAGGCTATTAACAAAACGACAACAATTCTAAATGTACAACCTAACAACCATGGCCTAGGCGAAAACTAGTGCAGAAAAGATTAATTGATATTCCTTTTTGGTAGCGCTAGGCACTTGTCAAGCAGTCGGATCGAGAATGTGCACTTCGATTTCTGATAAAACGTGTGCAATCTGATTATCACGCTCACAGATTAGCTGCATACCAAGAACGGGTTTCGCTTGTCCAGCTTGCAAATTGATTGAAGAACGTTTCATCGCTCGTACAGTGATAAATTTGGGTGTGACCACTAAGGTTGTCAATCAGTTCTTTCCCTAAAACATATATACATTGTAATTACGCGAGCTAACCGAATCGCCACCATGCAATCAGACCTGAAATAACCAAACTATTACTGATGCGATTAGTATAAACTGATATCCGCTTTGAAGGTCAATGAGGAACGAAATGTGAACCGATCGACTCATTTGGGATAGGAAACCGGGACCGCATAAGTAGAACACAAACAGACTACCCACTCGGTCAACGGGCAGTTGATCAACTGCTTTTTATCTTTGTCCTTATACACGATATAGCACAACCCGTTTTGCAAGCTTGTTGTGGGTATCACATCTCGTTCATCTTGGTACTAGCCTCCGGCGGATTATGACTCGGTTGGAACCCAATATGGGTTGTGCTTTATCCGGTATTACGAAGATGAAAAACGGTCTGATCAGCAGCCCGGTGGCCAAATGGGTAGTCTGCTTGCGTCCTGCCCATGAGGTNAAGTCGATAGATTCTCACTGCTGATGAAACCAGCTGTCCAGTGCTTACTAGCTTTTCAGTTCACGTTTGATTTGTTATATACACAACGAATTCCCATTCGTTCATTCTCGTCTACGGCTCGTTCGGTCAATAATGAAGGACATAACCTTCCCGGGTGGGGTGGGGGACAAACAGTCAAACCCCCACCTTCACCGAAATTTTAAGCCTAATCAACTCAATCCCAAAGTACTTTTGTTTGTCTATGGGGAAATCAGTTCATTCTGAATGGACGGAATTTGACAGACCCGGTCCAATCAGTGACATGTGACCGCTGAGACATCAATCCCTTTGT